AGGTTCAATCAATTAATTGAATAAATAAAACATTATAAAGTTAATTTTATTAATTTTAATTAAAATTTTTTTATCAATTAATAATTAATTAATAAAATTAATAATTAATTAATTAAATTAATAATTAATTAATAAAATTAATAAAATATTATAAAATGATGATTATTTTTTTTAATTTTAATAATTAACAAATTAAAATATCATAATATAAAAAAATATGCTAAAACTTACAAATCTAATATAGTAAAAAATTAAAAGTGTTATGGTGAGAGATTAAACCTTTTAAATTTGATAAAGGTAAAGGATTAAAATAGGCTTTTGCCGTTGCGTTCCTTTGCCCGGCCTGGTTCAATTTCAAGGCCTGTTCTTGATCCGTTCTCTGTACTTAAATCACGAACAAGCTCTGTACGAAAGAAAATGTTTGGATTACATTAAATTACATGATTTAAACTATTACATAAAGGTGTTTTTTTTTAATATTAAAAATTATTATTTTATTTAATAATTTTTATTTTATAATTTGATGCAATTTTAATTATAAAATAGTAAAATTATAATTTTATCTTAAGAAGAAGTTTACAATCTTAGCTGGTGGTATTAACAAAAATTTAATTAAATTGATATTTATTAATATAAAATTTTCAATTTGAGGACAACTAAATTAGAAATTTATCCCCAAATCAAAAAAGATTTATATTAGTGGGTATCAATATTGAAAACTTTAAGCTTTTAGTTTCAATAAATTCAAAAACTTGTTATCTTTTCCTCCATCATTCTGACAAAACCTGAGTTGAATTCTAGAGTTAAGGCTTTGTTCACGCAATTGCTTAAAATGATAGATTCGTTAGAAGTAAAGTTAGAAGCTAAGTTTAATTTCAGAGGAGATAGCTTGTTCAATTTCTTTGACAATCACCATCCATACATGGTAGTACCAAATGGGTTCTGATTTAGCATTATCAAAATTTTGAAAACCAGACTATGGAAATAATATATCCCGATACTAAATATATAGATCATAAGTGATGATACAGGTGTGATGATGTCTTTGTTGTTCCTTAAACACTTTCCTCTATCTCCACGTCGTGTTATTGCGATGTCTTATTTACAAGATCAAATAAAATAATAATTAATGAATTTATCGAAAAATATTAATAAAAAATATCATCAAAATATGTGTGAAAAACTTACTTTAAGGCGATTCATACCTTTGTGAAGAATAGTTCAACCGATGCAACAGGAATATGTATAACAGATTGTTCCCAAAATGCTACAGTTTTATAATAACACTCTATAAATCTACATTATTTATAGTCATCTAATTCAAAACACTATTCTTTACCTAAAAATATTTTGAAGATAGAGTAAGATAAGACAGTAGAAAAATATGGAGGAACTCTTTATTTTGAGCAAAAAGACATGTCATATTTATAAGATTCATGGTCATGTAACTCCAATTTATAAGTTAATAATAAGAATAAATTGAGCAATTATTATGAGATAATATATTATTAAATAAAGTAATTAACCTATAACGATTAGTTCGATTAAGTTTTTAATAAAATAATAAATTTAATTTATAAAATATATTATTTTATTTTTTATTAAAATATTTAAACTCCAACACCTTTAACTAAACAAGTTTAATGATTTAATATGTAACCACTTGTAACCACTTGTACCTTTGATCGCAACATGTAGA